CTGCCGCCAGCTGCTCGAGCTGCATTAGCGCGAGGTTGATCTCGGATCCATCTGGGACGAGGGAGTGGGCGGCGGCGGCGGTGGCGCCCACGCGCTTGCGGTCGGTGAGGTGCATGTTGTCCACGTCGCCCAGCACCGAGTCGACGAACGTGTTGTCGAAGACCCCCTCCGCCGGCGCCACCTTGGACATCGGCGACGGGCCGTGCCGCAGCGCCGCCGCCATCTGCTGCTTGAGAGAGGGTGCGGCGGGCGGGTCGTAGGGCGCGGGCGAGCCGCGGGTGTTGCAGCCCGACTCGATCGACGACGAGCGCGAGATCGGCGGCGCGCGCATCGCGTTCGAGAGCTGCCACAGGGTCATCGACCGGCCCTCCTCGTCGGACCGCTGCTTGCGCACGCGGGGCCAGGAGTCGTGGATGGAGCTGGGCGGGCCCTGCTCGGCCTCGATGTCGGAGACGCGCTCGGAGAGCGAGCGCTCGTCATGCCCGCCCGCCTCCTCGTGGAACCGATGGGCCACCTCCCAGATCGGGGGGGCCGACCGCCGCTTGAGCTGGCCCGAGCGCGCACCGTACCTTGCGGGGGCGGTGTGGAAGCGGCGGTGGCCCTCCTCGCTCACGTCGGAGTCGATCGAGTCGGCGACCGACGCCGGCGTGGCGAGCCCGCTCGTGCCGCTCTCCATTTGTGGCGGCAGCGGCGGCTTTGAAGTGTCTTGTTTTGGCGAGCACCACCGAAGCGACTTCGGTCGCTGCTCCTCCCGGCCCGCAAGTAGGAAGAGCGCGCATAGTCAATTAGCGCGCTATGGTTAAGGAGCAAGCGCCCGCCGGACCCGTAACGGGCGTTTGGCCAACTGGTAGTTATGGGGGGGGCACTCCCAATGCTATTTATGATTGCGGAAGGTGCGACGACAATCACGAGGAAATACGGCGAGATTCCTCCAACAATTGCGAGAGGCGTTGAACAGGCAGGCGTTGGACAGGCGTTGGGCGAGCCCTAATGGATGGAAGGAAATGGAAGCCGCGGCGACCCCGGCGTGCCGGAATAGACCGCGGGCGAGGGCGGGGGGGGGGGGGGGAGGGGGGCTGAAGAAGAGAGGGGACGAGAGAGAGGTGGACAGGAGGTGGGTGCGGCCGAATGAAATATAAAATGTTGTTTTTGCTTGGACCTTGGTGCCCTCGCGCCTCGGTGATCTCGTTCGGAGCAAGACACTGACGCCATGCACGCGCACGAGGCGGGCAGTTGTTGTGTCGCCAGACCGACCGCGTGGGGGCTGAATAAGGAGACCAGTGTGTTTCATCAGGTGGGCGGTTGCGGGTTGGTTGGTACCTCGCCGTCGACGCGTGGCTCTCTGCGGCGGTGCTCGTCCTCCCGCTACTCTGCTGCCCCGCCAAGTCCGCTGAGCTTTCGAGCGTCGCCGTCGCCGACGATGATGGCGACCCCTTGCTGGAGCGCAAGCAAGTCCAGTGTCGTTCACATGTACATGTACAAGGACGACGACGTGCCGCGCGCCAAGCGCCGCAAGTACTGCAAGGACGACAAGGTGGCGGCGATCTTCGCCACTGCCTTTTGAGAGATGCAAGGTGGCCCGCGCGGGGGGGGAGGTGGGGGAGGCGGTATTGTTAAAGGATAGTAGTGTGGCAGTTTGGTCGGAGGGCGCCCGGGTCGCCCCGGAGCGGCCCCGCGCGGGGAGGTGGGTGGAGGGCGGCCACCACGCCATCGGACAGGCCGCGCGGGGACGCAGCCGGGGCCAGCGCGCGGCGCTAGAGGGCCGGGCGCAAACTTGTTGCACCTGCACCTGCACCTGCACCTGGGTGCCGCGAGTTTTGGTGGTTCGAAAAGCGGAGCGCGCAGTCCGTTGTGGCTCGAAACGCGATGCGCCTCCGCCGGGAGACACGGACGGCGCCGGCGGGAGTTGGCCTTTATACGTTTTTCTCGCCCAGTACTATCTATATTCTTTTCCCGTATTCTTTCCGTATTCTTGTCCCAAACAGGGTCCATATTCTCGAATATGCCAAGAATACAGCTCCAAATCGGGCCTATATTCTCAAATATTCTTTATATTCCCGCTGAAAATCGCCTTGCTTGTTCTTGGACGTCGTTGGACGTCTACCTCTTCCTATCTCCCTGCCGAGCCAGGTCAGCCTCCGTTTTCTTTGCCCGCCGTCACCTCACCGTCGGTGCCGTAGCTCGCCGCTAACTCGAAGTGCGACCTGCTGTACGAGGACACCACGCTTGTCCCCGGTCGAACTCCGTCACGCTGACCAAACAAAACCGACGATGAGCCCAGTCCCTTTCCTTGCCGAAATGAGCCACAACAGCATGGCCGAGTACGAGTGGATTGTGGTTGCCGGCGCCGTCACCGCCTTCATCGCGGCATTTGGCATCGGCGCGAACGACGTGGCGAACGCGTTTGCCACCTCCGTCGGCTCAAAGGCGATCACGATCCGGCAGGCCTGCTTTCTGGCCGTCGTCTTTGAAGTCAGCGGCGCGGTGCTGCTCGGCTCGCACGTCACCCGCACGATCCGCAAGGGCATCGCCGACGCGGATTGCTTTGCCGGGCAGCCCGAGGTGCTGATGTTCGGCAGCCTCTGCGTCATCATCTCCGTGGCCTGCTGGCTCCTGCTCGCGTCGTACCTCGAGATGCCCGTCTCGACGACGCACAGCTGCGTCGGCGGCATGATCGGCATGACCGTCGTCGCCCACGGTCCGGGCTGCGTCGTGTGGTACGAGGCGGCGACGGCCTTTCCCTACGTCAAGGGCGTCGGTGCCATCGTCCTCTCCTGGTTCCTCTCGCCGCTCCTCTCCAGCGCCGCGGCGGCCGCGCTCTACACGACCGTGCGCGCCGCGGTGCTCCGCGCACCCGACTCGTTCGAGCGCGCCTTCCGCGTGTACCCCCTGCTCGTCGGCTTCACCGTGGCGATCAACGCCTTCTTCATGATCTACAAGGGCGACCTTGGGCGGAGCCTGCAGGCTTGGAGAAGAGACTCGACGGGGCGTGACCCGGGAGGGCCCGAGAGTAGGCGCCAAGGGGCTCGGCCTGCACAAGACGCCCCTCCGTGACGCGGTCGGCGTCTCGCTCGGCGTGGCTGCGGTCGCGGCCCTCCTGACTCTTCCGGTCGGCGCCGTGATCAAGCGACGCATTCTGACGAACCGTGACCTCGAGGCCGGGCGCGAGGTGGCGCGGCGCGCGGAGCAGATGGAGGCGGCGGCGGAGGCGGCGGCGCGGCTGGCGACGACGGCGCGGAGTGACGAGGTCGCCGGGCCAGAGGGGGCGCAGGGCGACGGAGAGGCGGCGGAGGCGCGGAAGGCGGCGAGCAAGGCCGCCCAATCGCCGTCGGACGCGCGGGTGGAGGCGGCGCGCGCGGAGGAGGAGGTAGCGGCGATACACGCCAATGCAGAGGTGTTCGACCCGAGGACGGAGGACGTGTTCCGGTACCTTCAGATCTTCACCGCGTGCTGCGACTCGTTTGGCCACGGCGCCAACGACGTGGCCAACGCGGTCGGGCCTCTCGCCGCCATCGTCGTCATCTACCAGACGGGCGAGGTGAGCACCAAGGTGGACACGGGCGCCACGGGCTACTACATCCTCCTCCTCGGCGGAGTCGGCATCGCCCTCGGGCTGCTCCTCTACGGGTACAAGATCATGGCCGCGCTCGGCGTCAAGATTGCGAAGATCACGCCGGCGAGAGAGCGCGTAGCCGAGACAGCCCTCCACCCACCCTGGCCACCCCACCTGGCCACCGCAGCCCCTCCGCTGCAGTCGCCCCCCC